AAACGAATCTTTCATGCCTGCAATAAGGCCACGAAATGTGTAATGTATTTACCTAGCAAATATTTCACATTCATTCTTTGTAATGAAAATGGATATTTCTAGGGTTTTATGTAAATTGAATAAAGTACCTATACAATCCCCTGAAACAGATAGAAGTATATGCACCCCCACATGATTAAGACTGTAAATAATCCTTGATCCAAACTTAACATTTTTCAGTTTCACGAAAATCAAATTTTATAGCAAAAATATGGGTACCATAGAGTATAATTTTACCTAGAAAATAGATATATATTTTTTAAATTGAATCACATATTGAAGATATCTATATTATGAACTTTCTAGAAAATAAATATTTGTCAGTATTATGTAAATCATACTTCAACGAATGAAGTATGAAATAATTATTTAACATTATATTGACGCAAAAGATTCTCAAATGAGAGTTGTAGTTAATTTGATTAATAATCCATGATTTAAAACCGTTATTTTTCATTCAATTCACTGATATTTCCAACTCTTTGAACTTCCTCCGCATTTTGCATTCTAAACTCTAAAACGGTCCAACACTCTATACACAAAATAATATAGAATAGGGTATAAAAAGCTCGCCAAAATGAAGTACAACTAACTGGATGCGACTTTTGTGCAGAACTCGTTTGGGTTTTAGAAACCTTGAATAAAAAACCTATCTAAGCAAACTGGTTTCGAGTTTCTGTAGTTCAGTGTTCGCTTCTTCTAAGTTGAGCTGCTGACGACACCGAAAAGCAAAAACCCAACAAAACATAGGCGTTTCGCCTTTATTTCTCTGTTCGGAGGAGTTACATGCCAAAAATCGATTACAAATGCAAATTCCGAGCTAGGGTCTGAGCTCTATTACAACTGAAGTCTTGCGACATCTAAAGGTCTAAGCATTTTTGTCATTGGTCGAAATTTCGCACCACTTAGCTATACGTGGGTGGTTTACTTCGTTGGATGTTTCCATTTGAATTTCGATTTTCGCTTTTAGCTGGAATGAGTGTCAGGGCGGACGTAAATACAAACAGACATATGTACGTATGTATGCATGTATATTGTGATGTACACTTGGGCATAAACAGAACGAACCACTGACGCTTCTCGCGTATTGTGGATCACGTTTATCGATTTCAATTTCGTCGCAAATGGCAGAAAAAAAATAAACACAAACATGTTTTGGTTCTTTATTTATTTTCGCCGCCGGCATTCGCTGTGTGCTCTTTCCTCATTTATTTTCGTCTTATTTTTCTTCTAATTAAGAAAATTAAAAATATATTTTTACGTCCACTTGCATATGGGTGTGTATCGGTGCATATGTCGAAACAATGTGTATTCCAAATAATAGACAAATATACATAGGTGCATATATATATATATGTATATCGTCTATTTGTCTACAAAACGCGAACTTTTCTGCGAATTGTGTCGACCACCATTTTGTCTGCCTTTGCAATTTACTTTTCTGTGTCTACGCCTCATAAAGTTTACTATGTATTCATATAATGATGACTGACCTGACTACAGTTTATCTAGCTCGAAGATCTACTCGAATTCACTTTCAACTCGCACTGTTCAGAAATCAATACCTATTTAATTTAATGATCTCTCTTAAAGATTTTCTGATATGTTTTTAATATCGATTTCTTTAAAAAATTATGCACCGTCTTAAGAGCACAGATTTTACACCTCGTTTTCAAGGCAAAATTATGATGTAAACGCATTTGCATAGTGTTATAGCCTGATAAAGTACAGCAGGTTATACACTTCTAGCAGATCAAGACTTAAATTAACAGAGTATTCGATAAGCCTCTATATATTTTTGTAGAACTGTAGGGCGCACGCTAGTCAACCACTCCTAGCTAGACCACTAACTTGTTTCTTTTTTGCTTCCGTGCGCTTTTTGCTAAGTTTGTTGTATTTCTGTTGAACATTTTGAAATGTTTCCATTTGGCAGCTTGAATTTCAGCGACTTGTTGTTGCTGCCCAGCGCAAGCCTCGTAAAAATAATAAAACAAAGCAAAAAACGATAATAAATAAAGTCAGTGGAGCAAAACTTTTTACCAAGAAAGGTTTTAAGATTCAAACACCAAGTTTGAGATAAAAAAACAAATTCCCTGCCATGTGCCAAACGGGAAGTTCAATCAAAAGAGAGGAAACTACTTCTGAGATTAAAAAGAACCCGAATTGAAATTAGTGAGATTTTATATATATGCATGAATATATAATATCAAATATACACATATATATATTTGTATATACAAATATATTTATTAAACTTTAGCTCTTAGTTCCTGAGTTTCTTTTTGATAATTATATATGTATATAAATATTTAAGAATATAATTGCTAGCAAACTGTTATGGGCATGGGTCCAACTGACAGAGTCTTTACTGTACCATGCTGTCAGATCAGATTAAAAGAAATATAGAAATGTGAAATATATAATCTTTATATATAATGTCATCAACAATTAATTATTTATGCCTTGACCCACATTGCTAGCAAAAATTAGCATCTAGGCAGCATGTATTGAGTACGCACTGTACATACGTAAGCAGTTCTGTTTGTAAATAATTGAAAAACTGTTTCGAAGCACGTTAATTTTTGAAAAAAAAAAACTCTTGTGAGCGAAAGAGAGTGTGTGAAAGATAGAGAGAGAGAGAGAGAGAGAGAGGGCGAGGGTGTAGCTGTTGTTCAACTTTCTTCTTCTTCTTTCGTTTTCAGTTGTTTTCTTGAACGGGCAACAGTTGGTCTGTGATTGTTGACAGCAAAATTTTGAGATGTGGAACATCACGTATACGCACCGCTGCACAGATCAAAGAACAAATGTCTCGCCAACTGATAAATATGTCTATATACACATGCGTGACTAGTGCTTTGGGTATGTATGTATGTATGTCTCTGCATAGTATATTTGCGTACGCACCTACAGAAGCACATTTTACAAATATTGCCGATGCTGCGGCTTTTGCTGCGCCGGCGATTGTTTTGATAGAAAACCGTGGATGAGCCGTTGTCCGGATCGATCACTGTGTGGGCGCCAATACCGTTAGCCGCATTAGTGTCTGTGGCCACATGTGTGGCATGTGGCGCGGAGCTATCGACGCCAGCGGCGCCCGTCTGTGTTAGTTGCGCCAGTTTCGCTGCACTAGCGCCAATCGTATGGTCGGACGTAAGGTCGCGCGAGGCGCTGCCGCTGCTGTTAATATTCGAGTGTCGGGCGCGCTCGCGGCTCCGCTCATTTCTATAACGTATCTGGCCGGCGGCTGAGCCAAGACTGAATAGATTGCCCAAAAAGCTGCCGCCAGCGCTGCTGCCGCCGCTGCCGACGCGGCTATTGGGGCTGCCGATGCCGCCGATGCCGCCGATGCCGCCGTAACCAGTTGAGCTTTTGCGTCGTCTTTGCCCACTGTTGACGTTGCCCTTGCTTCTGCTTCTGCTTTTGCTGTTGCTGTTGCTATTGGTAATGGCAGCGTCAGTGTGGCGTATGAGCAATTCTGTTTCCGAATCAGTCTCTTCGCTCTCTTCGTCAAAGTCACGTAGCGGCAGCTCGTTATCAGTCATGGCGTAAGAGAGCGTTGTATATTGTATATGTATATAAATACGATTTATATGTATTTGCTGAAAATGTTTGTGTGAAAGAGAGGGAGAGAGAGAGGCGCAGAGCTAGTGAGTTCGTGAGTGCGCTTTACAGGTGTGCCGTATTGTGTATTTGGCCTAAACTGGCACAAATTCTCCCAGTGCAGTTTTGCAGCTGTTGACTTCTATGTATTTCCGATTTCCTTCATATGGAACTTTATCCAGCCTTCGCTTGCCACGTTTCCAGTGAACTCCAATGCATCCAGTCGAACTTGACAACAATTTATTTGTTGAGCAAACACAACGTGTGACTGCTACCTTATCAATAGTCTTTATTTGGGCGCGTAAACATTTATGGAGGAGCTGAGCAAACACGACTCTTTATTATATTGAGCACACGCATACAAGCACACGGGCGTTCCCCGTCGACGTCATCTAGCGAATCCGCCAATCGTACACCTCATGCTCCCTTTTATAAATGCTAATTGATAATAATTGTTTATCAATTATTATTATTGCGAGTAGCACCTCGATCGATATCACAATATAAAACTATAAAAAAATCAACAATAACAACGCGGCACTTGCAAGTTTTATTACCAATGGCCCGGGCCACGGAGTTGCACACACACACACTCGCACACGCACACACACTAGAAACTAAACACATGCAATAAGAAATTTTCAACTCTTCATTTCTGTTCACATTTTGATTAAAAGCTCGAAAGTTGATTACCGCACTTGTGTGTGAAAGTATTCAAATAAAACTAAATAATATTTATAAACAATTTAGCACATGTTTGAGCACGTTTCCGTCTATTTACGTCAAATGTGTTGCCAGTGGCCACTGGCCAATTGTACAAATTTAGCCCAACTGGCGAACAGCTGTTTTACAGTGTTGGAAAAAGCTTCGCAGTTTGCGTGTTAAAAATCGTTGAGCGCCAAACTGGATTTTGAAAGAAACCTAAAAAAAAAAAAAATAGTTTGCAAAAATGAAATCATAAAATCTATGTTCTTTCGAAATTATCTAAACAGTATAAATTAGAGAATTAGTTTTAGATAAATAATGTTCCTGAGCGTCTTCTATGCTAACTAGACCCTTGGCATAATCGTCTCTGACTGTAACGATTCCAATTGAAAAACGAGCTTATCAATATTCTAATTTGATTTCCTTTCGACATAAACACACCCGGTTAGTTGACTATTGGATTTTATTTCATTTTATAAAATGTTATTTTTTAATCATTGTTCTTTTATGTACCTTAATAGTTTACCATATAAACAAAGAACGGGAATTTACAACGAGATCTTATCAAAGAAACAAGAATATATGCACACATCACACCAATTCTGCCTTTGTCGCTCATCAAAAAGTGTCTATTATTTAAAAATACATACACAAGAGTTTCAAGCACATAATACGTTTAAAGCGGTCTAATAAAAATATAATTTTGCTAAAACGCAACGCAGCGCTACGTAACGCTTCAATAGGTTGTTTGATTTTCTTGAGGGTTTTACGCTAGTTTACATAAATATGGATAGTTGTATTATTATCATGTATACGTATTACATATATATGTATATATATTAGGGTTATATTGCTCCGCAGCGTGATAACGCATGTTCTATCTGCGCTCCGTTTGAAGTGTAATGTTTGAGTCTGAATTTGAATAGTTCTGTTCCAGCCTGGGCCGAAAATCTTCCTCCCCATCGGAATAGGAGCCCACAGAGCGGCAGATGCTGCGAAAGGTAAACAGATAAGACTTTAACGAGGATATATAAAAAGTAAATATAGAGTACAAGTAGCTTAAGTATATTATCTACACAAAAGGAACAGAACCTTCTCCTTGTACAATGCCCTAAACTATGTACAAAAATGTAGTTTAAAAAAACGCGTATTTAATTATTAATGTGTCATACCGCTGCGTTGACGCATAGCCCTCGATAGCCAGAGCTTGACTGACGCCCGAAGGCAGCAAATGCTGTAGCAATGCATCTTTGGCCGCATTTGCCGATGTTGGCAGCGGCACATGATTCATGTCCACTGATGAATGCGATTGCGATAGTTGTGAGTTGGCCACCGCCGCGGTCAAGCCGTTCACATGTCTCGCCGTACTCGTGGACAATTTCTCGCCGTTATCGATCTCATCGCGTTGGGTGCGCTCGATGTAGCGCAGCGTATCGAAAAGGTCCATTAGATTGCCAAATGTGTTGCGCATATCACAGCGTCCCGTAATGTCGTAGCACAGCTGAGAAACGTTTTGCCGCAGCAAATAGATGGCGTACTTGGTTTGTTGAGATGGCAGAATGGAGCGCGTATACAAAGGAAATCTGCGATTGAAATACAAGGAATAAGTATTAGAATCAGGGAGTCAGGGAATTCTATAATCTAGTTGAACATCTAGCTCACTCTCGTGTCGCATAGGTGAGCTCCTTGATCTCGTCGACAATGCGAGCACGCGACGGCTCATAGAAAATAGGATTGCGCAGCGGTCGATCCATAATGAAGGCCAGCATCTGCACCAGATGCGCCACATAGCCGAGCGCTGCGCTCACCGCCAGCGGCGAGACATTGCCCAACAGCTGTGCATTAGCTGCCTGCCGCGATTCACTCGTATACTGCTCCATATGGGGGAAGGCGATGCCGCAAATGCTGAACTGTTGCACGCCCAAGCTCTTGATATTGTAGATCTCCTGAAGCTCCAGCACCAACGTGGACATGCGACGCTCCAGCTGCTTAATAGAATTTGACAAAATTAATAGCTCTGGAGAGTCTCTAGATATTCAAAATATACTCGCCTGCAGTATGACTTGACGCTTCTGGTCGCGCTGTGCCAGCTGCTGGGGCAGCTGTGTGCGGAACTCCAGACGCTCTTGCTCTAGTTGCAGCCGCTGATTGTGCAGTTTTATCTGCAGCTCCTCTCGCTGCTCTCGCAGCACCTGTAGGCACTCCTTTCGTCCCGCATTGCGCTCCTGGCAGGTGGAGCGCTCAGTCTGTAACAAACGCTGCTTGCAGCGCAATGTCTCGATCTGCTGCATCAGCTGCTGGGCACTGTAGAGCGTGAGGGGTGCTATCTCATGTTGCTCGGCCAAAAGCACGCTCAGCTTCCGTCCCATGGAATGATTATTACGTTGCGAGAGCTGACTGCCATACGACGAGCCAGAGATAGAGGTGGTGCGCGGCTTCAGTCTCAGCTCGTTGCGTGTGATGCAACGAACGCTGAGACGCGCGATTTCGGTGTTCAGCTCCACCAAGTCGCCAAGCTTCTTGAGCTTGTCTCGCTGTCGCCGCTGCAGCATCAACAGATTCTCCAAGTTGTAGCTGCGGCGCATGTTGTCTCGCTGGCAGCTCAGGTGCGCGTAGCGCATCGTGGTCATCTGAAGCACGGGGCTGCTACTGCGACTCACGGGCGGTGAATTAATACCGCCATCACTCGGCGCAGTCCGTTCATTATTGTCGTAGTCGGCGTAGCGCTCGTATTGCAGACGCAGCTGGGCGTGCAGACCCTGCTCGCTGATCAGCTCTGGGGAGGTAAAATGCTCGCCGTTTAGATAAAAGATCAAACAGTTCGCTCGACAGTTAGCGAATGAAAGTGGGGCCAGAGGTATGAGGCCAGAAAAATAAACACCCCAGCTGAACAACAGCTCCGGTGGGCGTGGCAGCGTGTGGGGCGTCAACTGCACGTTGGGCAAGCGCTGCGTCAGCTGCGCACTGCAAAAATAAACGCGAGGGAAAGACATAAACAATAAACGAAATTCCTCTCAGTTCGTATTACATGATGCAATTCGAAGCATTCGTACCTTGGCGCCGACTCCGCGGCCTGCGCATTCTCGTTTGGCCCACTGGGCCACTGGGCGGTCGGCTGGTACTGCGCCCAGACCTTCACACAGACGCATTGCGCATTGGATTTGCGCCAGACGGCGTCGCCCGCACAGATTTCCGCCCACTTTTGCTGCTGATGGCGCTGCGGCAATGCCTCGCTGGTATAGAACGCATCACTAGCCTTATCAGCGTGCAGTGTGTAGTAGATAAGCAATTCGTAGTCCTCCGCGGCAATGTCCTCGCCGGCGTCTGGGCTGCACTTAATGTTTACTCCTTGGATGCGCGCCAGGTTGCGGAGTCGCAGTTGTTGCGTTGCCAGTGGCAGCCATTCGCGACAACGCGGTCGCAAATGCATTGCGGCTTCCGTTGAGCGTTACGCTATGTAATAGCCGTTGCACATGATAAATATATACTAAATTATTATTTAAATTTACTGCAAAAAATTTACTTTGAACAACACTTTGGGAAAACAGCTGATTCTGCCTGAACAACTGCAACTAGTGTGACCGTATTCCAACACTTTACAACTAGGTGGCAGCACCAGTACTCGGCCACTAGACCATCAGTGCTGCATTATGGCGGATTTTTAAGAATCTCTATATTTAAATCTATTTTAATTTTAGCTTAATTATTAAATTAATCATATTAAAAAGCAATTCCTTGGATATTTTTACATCATACTTATAATTCTAGTTATTTAAATGTAAGAAAATGCGTAATTTAGCGGTAAATGAAGCTTACGAAGTCCTTGTGTACAAATAGCGCAGCACTGTTGCTGCTGGTTAAACTTCAAAACACTGGCAACGCTGCCGAAGAAGTTTATATTCGTGCGCGTAAAAGGCAGCTTGTTGCAAGGTTTTCCCAAACAAAGTATTATTTCATTCGAATATACGAAATCAAATCAAGTCAATTTAAAAAGTTAGTAATTTTTAGATGCTGAACTACATTAAGGAAGCAATCATGGCGCCGTCCACACGCAGCAGTTGTAGCAAAGTGAACCAAACTCTGGACAAGGATCCAGATAAACATAAAAATCTAAAAGCTCCAGCCAAAATGCTGGGCTATAAAATAACAGACAATGAGCGCACACGGAAATTCGGTATTGGCGCCAATTCATTAGAAATGCTGCTACAGAAGGCACAGCTCAAATTTCCGGTAAGTGTTAAAAAATATTTGGCAAATTGCATTGCTTCACAGGAAGAAAAACGCCTCGGCCCACACTCGCCCATATTTGACCCTGCCCCGCCCCTCGTCCCTGGCCCTGAAGTTTCAAGGCCAATGTTTCCTTTGGTTGGCTTCCGCCTTACTTGACGCTCTACACGCGTCAATGTCACGAAACACTCGTGCCCGAAATGCGCATGTCCGACGAAAGCAAACAAAACACAAGGGGAACACCTGTTGCTAGCACAAATCCGCCTTAGGTCAGGGTCTAGGGTATTACGAGTCAAGGGCAGTGTACTCATGGCCTTTACGCTTGCTTGCATTTTAGCTGCAGGAGCTGCACATTTATCTGGCCATTGATGGCTTTGAAGTCTCCGACGAGGAGTATTTCAACAGTTTGCCTGCTCAAACGCTCTTCATTGTGGCTGGACCCGATGCAGTCATCACAACGGGTGAGCTAAGTTTGTATACTTTGTATGATGATGATTAATTTAAATAAATTCCTTTATATTCTATAACAGATGCCGACTTTGAGTTTGAGAAAATGCGCCAACAGTCGCCGCTGCTGAAGGTTGCAGACATTTTCTACGACTTCATCGAACAGCATCCGGACAAGTTTCGACGTATGATTACGGAGTATGAGCAGCAGAAGCAGCGACGAGCCTTGGACAACACGAAAGCGCATCTCAGCTTAAAGGCCGAGCACGTTGAGTGGTTCGAGGGCAGCGAAGAACGATTTCAGTCCAAGGAGGAGGCCATGGCCGTCAGGGCGCAGACACGTGTGCGTGGGTACTACTACAAGACCAAAGAAGAGCTGACGCGTAATCCGCTATACAGACAGAATGCCAAGGCCAGGCAAATCATAAACTCTGTGCTGGAGCAATTTCGCTATCTTCTTATTGGCTGCGATTACTTTTCGATGATGTTCAATCGAAAGTGTGAGCTGAAGCATGAGATTTTGCGACAGCATGGGGAAGCGGAGGAACCCGACGCGGCGAGCGTGCCCAATAAGCGGCTGCGACAAGTCATTAAAGATTATACGACGCGAAATGCCATCCTCGACGAATGGTCCGTTTCGCTGTGCACGGACTTAGGCGACTTCTATTGCCAGGGCTCTTACTCGGACAATGGCAATTACTGCTCGCTGAAGCACACCATCAATCCATATGCTTCACGGGAAAATCTCATATTGTTTCAAGTGTGGAATCTTGACCATCAAATCGAACTGTGTCGCACCATTTTGCCGACGTTGGTGGCCAATGTTCAAGAACTGGTAACACAGCCGCAGCGTAAATGCGCGTTGCACAACAAACGCGTTGTGGACGTCTCTGTGCTGGAGTACTTCTTGGAGATATTCTCGCTCAAGAATCTCAAACTGGTCCACATCGTGTGCCATGAGAAGGTGCAACGCACTAATCAGTCCAATGGGCGCCTCCTCTGCGCCGATTGCCACGAATATCGCATTGTGCAGGAGCTCATGCAGGTGCAAGCATCGGAGATAACTTCCTAGAGTGGTTTACGGCGTAATCTACTAAAGCAATATAATATGCAATAACTGTAAACATTCTTTTATGCAATATTACGAACTGCTTTAACAAGCTTTGGGCTTAAAATGTGTGCCAAACTTCGGTGTGTATATATCATAATATGATTTACACAATTCTCAAATGAGTTAGCTCAATGTCAAATTGTACAAATCTCAAGTATCTCAAAGTTAACTATCAAAGTTTAGTGTTAAAATAATTGACATATTTATGCATTTATTACAAGGAAAACGTTGATCTGCATGCCCTATATACAATATACATACATGTTATATACATATATATATATATATACGAGTTAGCTTTAAATGTTGTTAATTGTAGTAGGTGAGTTTTGAGCAGGCATATTGCCCGTTGCTTTGTTCAACATGTCCATTTTAAGATACTGTAAACTCGACATATGTATGTATGTCAAACAGCAATTATATTTGCATAATGAATATAATTGATCCTATCTTAACAACGTATAGATTATTGAATTTACTGAGTGTGTGCTTTTATTTAAGTGCAATATGAATACTACTTCAATATACATATAAATATACAATAAAACACACACAAATATATATACTACGAGAATCTATCCTAGAACGAATTCATGCTCATGTACCTAAATACATTTGTAACTACATACAAGTACAACAGTTTTGCTACACTCGGCTTCTCTGTACCTATGAAGATAAATTAAATTAAAAACTGTATTGAAATATATATATATTAAAAATGTAATACAGAATATTTAATATGGTCCGCAATCTATCTATCTATGAAATAAGAACCCCACACTATACTACCTTATAATTAGTATTTTCTTTGATTTAAAAAATTCCTATCCTAACAATACACATACATATTCTGCTAATCATTTTGAGCAAAAAAGCTGCGTAGTCAAAAAGCATTTAGTCAAAATTTTCCTAACGCTAAAATTGACAGAGTGAATAACAGCATAGTTATATTACATTTATCCAAATCAAGCCTAAGATATAGCAAATACATTGCATTCTTAAATATTGTTAAGGAATACAAGCATTCCTTGCAATTTTGATTGGCGAAAAAAGATTTTTGTCAGCCCTGCGCCATGGGTAGAGTGTTTTAACATAGACCCAAATCTAGTGCGTCAATTAACAGTGCATTTAATTATTATTTCGTATGTGGGCTAAAATAAAATGTCAATAATTAACAGTTTTTTGTTGGGCAGCAATCCTATGTTAGATAGCAGCTCTATGTTAAATGTGAAATACATACATTTATTATTAAAGGCATTTGCAATCCATTCTCATTCTTATTTTGAAGGCAGCTTTCACATTTTCAAATCAGCGGATGAACAATGAGCAAGGTTACTGACCATATAAACCTTTATATTTAAATCAAATATCAAAATAACCAACAATCTTTTGTTTATTTTTTTTTTAAGATATCTTTTTATTTACTTAAAATGTCACTGCATATAAAATTATACAACACAAAAATATAAATGAGTATATAAAATAATAATAGTCTCAAATAGATTTGATAACACACTCGTATGCATACGAATACCATATGTTTGTATATAAGTATCTTTCTCCTGTATAAATAGCTATGACAAAATCAAAGAGTCTGTTGTTAAAGAAAGATATGAGAAACTAATCAAATCAAACAGCTGCTGGCTGAAGACGACAAACAGAAAGAAACTCTATAAATTGAAAATTTTATTTATTTGCTTTTGCTTTCATTTTATTATCATGAATATTATGAATCGTTTACAGGATGCGCTTTCGTATTATCCGGATACATTTTGAATTGTCGATTGCGTTGTTTTTCGTTTCGTTTTGTTATCTCTGGATTAATTCATTCTCTCGGCTTAAGAGTTAAGGTTAGTAATGATTCGCTTCGCTAATAGAGTTCGTAAGTTGTGTTAGAGTTTTTTGTTGTTTTGCTCCTTTTGTTTTTAGTGCTGCTACCAAATCGCGTTTAACAATTGAAAAAAATATTTTAAAAATACATTTTCATCTCAACTACAATGCTAAAAGTTAGTTTTATGAAATTTCACTAAAAAGAAACTGTTCCCAAGTTAAACATCATTCTGTTTACTTCGCGGATCCTAAGTATTTGCTGGTACTTAAGCTAGGGACAAGTGCATTAAATTGCATCGTTTGTTGTAGTCTGTTGTCAGCTATAATTGATTTCTATGGCTGTGAGAAATAATTATAGATCCGATTGTCCCGGTCCTGGAATACAAAGTAAAACAGTTCATTATTAAGGTATTCAATTTTCATTACACCAAAAACATATACGAATAAAGCTAACAATAATTTGTGGAAAGTTCTTGGTCTGCGCCATTTCGCTTAGATTGGTAAACGTTCAAGATATATAAATATCTATATATCTGTAGGCCAGACATGGGAGAAAATAAAGCGTAACAATTACATACAAACGAAGCGGCAAATAAAAATAAGTAAAGCAAAAGCAGCCAACAGAACTTTGAGAGGAAACTTCACCTTAATTGTTTTAACAATTTTTACTTTTATAAATTTTTGATTATTATTATGTTTTTTAATGTTTTTGGGATAAAAAGCCATTCATATTCATTGTCATCATTGTAAACGATTAATTATGTTAAGAATATTTTAATTGTGTATAAAAGAAAAGAAAAAAAGTTAATCAAATATAAGAAAGGAAAACATTCAATTATGAATTGTAAACTCATGAATGGTTAATATTTTGAACGACTTTTTATATTTTACAATTTGGCAATCGTTGGTGTTTATTGTTTTTATTTTTAATAGTATTTTATTGTTACACTAAAAAAAATCTTCATTCGTTGTTCAGCATTTTGTGCAAGGTGGAGTTTGCTCTCCAAAATTCGTTAAATCAAAAAATCAAAATACTTTTTGGAAAGGAAAAGATAATACAAATATTTGCGATAGGACATTGAGTCAATGTTTTTAATTTTGTTAAGATTTGATTTGGAAATATTTTGAAGTGCTACATAACATCTAGATGAGGTTAATATTTTGGGCAGTTCTACAGAATTTTTAGATGTGTGTTAATTGGGTAACAGTATTTAGATACAAACCTGGTTAATTGGGTTTAAGTTTAAATTTAAAATTTTTCATTTTAATTTTTTAGATGTAGTTTCAAATTTACTTAGTGTACAAAATGTGACTATCGCAAATATTTATTGCAAAAAATTAGGAAATACGGCACACATAATTTAAAAAAAATCAAATAGCGGCAAAATTAAAAGAAATACATATAGAATAGATAGTTGGCAAATTTGAAATATATAGATTATATAATGAGAAAAAAAAAAAAAAAAACAATAACGAAAACATTAGTTGAAATTTTAGGATAGGATATACATTTTAATTGAATTTGTTTTAGGTACCTTAGGATTTTGAACGAGTTTTACAAAATCATTGAGTTGATGAAATTGTTTTTTGGTTTTTGATTATTCTTGTGGCGATTTGATAGATTTTTGATTTGATTAAATTATATTTTTTGTTTTGTTGCTGTTGTTGTTGTTGTAGTTGTTATTTGCTTTGATTCGAATTTAGAAATGACTTTGGCGAAGAGATTGCGCTTTTAATTGAGATAACAAACGAACGAGCGAACGAACGAATGAACGATTTTCTTTTTCTTTGGTTTTATTTGATTTATATACATTTCAGATTATATATATTATATTTTTGATTAGATATTTAGTTATTAGTCAGAGTATTTTTGTTTGTCATATTGTACAATGCGATGTGATAGGAAGTGATGTGATATGATATGATGTGATGAGAAATGCAACAATTGGCTAACCAATGAAGGCAGTGACTAGTGACAGTCGCTTGACCTAGGCAAGTATCAGGACTCAAATGCAAATACTAAAATCTATATACATATATATAACATATTTCAATATATGTATGTGTTTGTGACCCCTTCCCAGATAGCCCAATAGAGAAAACCGACTAGACCTTTCGCCAGCTGCTAACGGACCGTTCCCTAGATTGTTGCCTAAAGCACTCGGGACTTTTGCTGCCGCGACTGCTCAGGATTTCGGGTGATTCGGTGACGCGTGCTAGGTCTCGATTGATTGTCTTGGAGCTGAGCACCCGGGGACAGCGCACCGTCCAGGGACTGCGACGCGGATCCTGTAGCGCCCGAAATGCCTTCGACGGCACGATTTCGTCGCCGCCACTCGCCTCCGTCCAGCTGTTGTAGTAATCGGAATACTCCTTGTCCTGCTTGGGCGTTATGGCGGGCGTGCTGTCCAGCGAGCTGTTCTCCACGGAGTCCATCTCCTCAACCAGGGCGCGCTTGGCAGCTGCCTGCAAGCGCTCCATGGGCAGCTGGCGCAGGTGTGTGCTGTCGCTCTTGAGCAGCAGACTCTGGACCAGCTCGTTCACCAGTTTGTCGCTAACCACGCGCTGCTTGCTGGGCGATGGCCCCACAATGGGTGAGGCGGGACTGTTCGGCGTGGAGGGATTGTCCGCATCGATGCTGGTGTTCTTGCGAAGGGGCAATGAGAGGCGTTCGCGTCGCTGGGTCATTGTCTCGGCCTCGCTGAGCGCATTCGGGTTCTGGCGCCGTGTGATGGATACATTGTGAATAATCTTGCGTCTGCTCGGCTTGAAGTGAAACTCGTCCGCCTGGCCAGCCTCCAAGGCCTCGGGCAGATCGTTCTCGTCCTGCAGCAGCTTAAAGAGTCTGGAATGTGTCGCGGCTCGCTGATAGCTCGTCATTTTCCGCAGCTCGGGGAAACTTTCGGACTCGGTGTCCGTCTCGGAGAGTTGTCTATTCATGTCCGTTACGCCCGAGTCATCCTCTTCGATCTCGGACTCGGACCGCTGCGTACTGCTATTCCGCGACAGCTGTCCTTTGCCACGCCCACTGTCCACGGACAGCGATTGAATAGTCATGGGCTTGTTGGACGTGGGAGTTGAAGGTGTTGCCTCAAATACACTAATGCGATCTCGCACTGATATTTTGGGCTCATCCACCTTTATCACACCAAGATCCGGTAGGCCATTAGGTAGCAATTTTCTTTCCCGCTCCGTTTTGAGTTGTGTTTGAGATTCAAGTTGCAGTTCTGGTTCTGGCTCAGGCTGAACGTAAACCTGTGGCAGTTGGTTAGTTGGTGTGGTTGCCCCTCGTTCCTCATCTTCGGCGTGAGCTATTTGTATCTTATGTTGCTCCAAGACGACACCGTCCTCGCCCACAATTTCGTATTCGCCGGGAGCACCAAGGTTAACTTCGGTAGGTTCTTCCAACTCCAGAATGACGCTAGTTCGATTTGGTTGCGGCTTCTGTTGCACTTTGTGCTCATCGATGGAAGTATTGAAGAAGGCCATAGCTTGGCGATAGTTCTGGCGCTTCTGCTCCGCTTCTTCCAGCTGATCGATCTTTTCACGTTCCTGTTCGATGTCCGCCCAAAAGTCAGGCTCCTCGTCATTCTCTGGCTCATCGTTACCGTGCGAATAGGGCGCCCAGGTATGGACAGTAGCTGGCTCATGCATTGAGGCCAGCGACATAGTGTCAACCATATTAAGATTGGTTTCGGGTGCTTCTTGTGTTGCTTGCTCGATCTGCTTGGGCGAGTCTTCCTTAGCTGTGCTCTCATGCTCAAGCTCGTCGTATTGAGTGGCCAGCATTTTTTCCTCTTCGACAGCTGGATCGATTATCACTGGCTCCTCCCCTCGAGCTCCTTCCAGAGTTGCCCACACATCGATTTCCACGGCTGGTTCGTCGGGCAGCTTGGCCCGAAAAGCCTTGGTTTCCACCGGTTTGTATGGCGTTTCTTCTACCGAGTTTTGGCGCTCCTTACGAGCCCAAAACGTGGCTGATTTGTGGAAAGTAACATCATCGTCATCTGACTTACGATTCGCTTCGATTTCCGTCCAAAAATCAATTTCCTCATCGGTATCGACCTCGCGTGGTTCCTCAGGGTATTTTGTGGGATCGAATTTATAATCCTTTACTTGTTGATCATTAACATCTTCGGCTGATTTTATATTCGCCCAGAAATCAATTTCCTCTTCTCCTTCTCCTTCTTCTTCTTCTTCTTCTTCTTGGGTTATTTGCTCCACTGTATTTTCGATTGACTCTTCTATCTGAGTCTCTGCTGTTTGATCCGCCCAAAAGTCAACTTTTTCTGTGTATTGATGCGATTGTGTGTTGAACTGTTTCATGCTATTCTCGGATTTCGCCTTGTCTACTGATGCCCAAAAATCCTCCTCTGGCTCAGACGACTGTTTGACCTCTGATGATTCTTTACCCTCTGGCGATTCTTCGACCACGAAATGAACCGCGGCACATTGCGATTGGGGCATGTATCCTACTTTGGCTTTTAGGGTAGTCGTCCAATGTTCCACTTTAGTCACCGTCTCTCTTTGTAGTGGGGTATACGTAACGGTTTTTTTCTTTTTCACCCATTGACTCTCGTCCTTACTCTTCTCAATGCTTGCCCAGAAGTCGATTTCTTCATCTTCATCTGGCTGCTCGGGCTCACGAACCGGTTCAGGCTCCTTGGCTGCAGTGGCGAATGTTGACCAAAAGCTGTTCTTGGCCGCCTCTAAAGAGGCCTGAGTTTTGCTTAGGTCACAAGACTTGGGTCTAGCTGGTTGGGCCTGCTCGTTGCTCTGCTTCACCCGTAGTTGCACAGTCGCTTCTTCCGTAGCTTGCTTCGCCTGTGCGGCACCTGGCTTTGCCTCTGTCGTCTTCCAGTAGTTCTTGGATTGCTCCATCATTTTCTGTGCTTGCATTTTGGTAGCCCGAAGCGTGGCAAAGAAGTCGAACTCCTCTTTGGGTGCCTCCGCGCTATCTTCGGCTTCCTTTGCCGGCTCCAATTTGGCAATGTTATTTGTTAGTTCCCCGCTTTGGGTCTCAGCTAAGAACTTATTGCGCATGCCCAGCGAGATAGAGGTAGACACATCTTCAGTGCTCAGCTTCCGAGTACTTGAGAGCATTTTGTCTGGATTGCCGCTCAGTTGGTTCTCCATCGACTTGTCGACGGAATTGGAGCGAGACGAGTTGGACAAGCTGATGGTGACGCTAACTTCGCAGTCATTGTCGTCCTCGTTTTCGCTCTCTAACTTGGCAATGCTAAAGGAATTGCGTTTTCCCTCCAAGCTCTGACGCCGCTCCTCAATCTGTGTGGTGCTGCCCACCTCTAGGGTGGCTATCTTCTCGTCATTCGAGCTGCGGCTGAAGGAGAAGCGTAGTGGCAAGCGCACAGTCACCGAAGTAGATTCCTCATCGTCGTCATCGACATTAGCTTCGTTCTTTTCATTGTCCTCGACTTGCTGATCCAAGTCGTCATCTTCCTCGACTTGGGGATCTCCTATTGTGGCATTACTAGCACTGGATCCATTACGATTGATAACTGTCCTGGCATAGTTGCTGCTGCGTTCCATGTCGCTCTCCTCCTCGTATATGGTGCTCAGATCCTCTTCGACGGCGTAGTCTTCGTCCAGTTCCTCGACTAGTTCTTGTTCTTCTTCTACTTGCTCCTCCTCGTCAACCATTTCATCGGCTGTCGTCACATCCTCATCCTCACTCTCTGAGTCCAACTGCTCGACGAGCACCTTACCCAGTCCCTTGTAGACCTGTATGTTGGTCACCGACTTGATGGCCTGCAGTGGCGCGTGCTTGGGTGTGTCCGTATCATCCTCGTCCTCATCGCTGCTATCCTCCGACTCTGTCTCACTGTCGTCATCGTCCACTCCGACTGTGATCTGCACCGGCGAGGCATTCTCGCTCGGCGAGCATGCGCCCAACTCCTTGAGCTGTTCGCCCGCATAGTCCTTCTGGATCTGCTTCGACAGATTGGCTTGAGTATTGCCTCCTGCAATATTATTGATATTGGCCAGTCGCTGGGTGAGCATGTCGATGACCTGTTCGTTGTTGCTGCAGATATTGCGCGCCTTCGGGCGGCTTACCAGCTCCTCAATTTCGACAGAGTGCGCGCGCTTGGGTGGTTCACGGGGCTCCACCTTGATGTGGTGCTGCATTATGACCTTCGAGGGCGTATCGTCAGTGCTGGGGGTTATAATAATATCGGGCAATACACTGCTGGCACGACTTTCAGTTGAGCTTTGGCTAAAGCTAGGCGCTACCGGATAGGGATAGGGGCTATAGGGCGGTACGAACTGGGGAAACTGCGCATCACTGGGCATGCCTGGCTGGCCATAGACTGGCGGCGGGGGTAGATAGTAAGGGTAGTAATAGGGATAGGCCTGATTCATGTCTGGCTGCTTGCCATCAGCAGATGGGGGCAAAGGTGGCGGTGCATATGGATAGGGATAGGGCCAGTTTAGGACTTGAGGCTGATCCCCATTTACTGGCCCTGTGGCTGGATGGGGATGGGGAGGGGGTGGCATGTACCAGGGGAAGGGATAACCGTAAGCATAGGGATATTGCGGAGGCACCGACTGGGAGCGCTCCGGCTGCTTAGATGCCGGATAAGAGCTGTCAGAGCTAAGCGATGAGTTTGATGAATATGAGCCATGAGAAGTGCTTGTATTTGTGTCTGTGGTGGGCGGTGGAGTGGGTGTGGCAGATGTGTAACTATGATGTTTATTGATTTTATTGTTAATTTCTCGGTTATGGTTACTTTTACTGGCATTATCATTATTGTCATTATTGTGATTAATAATATTATGATTATTATTATTATCATTATTATTATTATTATTATTATTGGCTTCGTTCAATTCAATATTTTCCAAATCCGAGTCCAGCTCGGTGTGAATTTTATGTTCTGAGGTCGGTTTGGTGCACGGTTATCAAAAATAAATAAATAAAAAAAGAAAGAAGAAAAGATATAGACACGGTGAGAGTGCATATTATGATCAATACACCAACAATTTGGACTGTGAATGTTATACAGATTAAACGATCGAGCAAAGCCACTAACTATATACAGACTTCAATAGTCGCGTATGCATGTGTGTGTGTCTGTGTGTGTGGATGATATGGATGCATGATGTAGGTGTACATAGAGATGAGTCGTATAACCGATTTATTCAGATTGCAACTCAACATGCTTCCTTCCCAAGTGAAGGATCCAACAACTCGTATGGTTAAGAGTCAATGCAAAACAAAATGATTTTCAAGAAAGGTGAAATCTCTCAATAGGTAGAATACAATCAAGAATCAAGAACACTGTGAAAAATAACGTGATGCAAGGTATATGTATAATTGTGAATATACATACATACGTGTACGTCAATGTGCGCGTGTGTGTGTGTATTTGTTAGTGAATGTCTATAATGGCATATATACAAGTTGTCGTAGCCGAGAGGCTAAACGTCGCGTGTTGATCATGTGAGCGTGTGCGTGTGTGTGTGTGTGATATATAATAATAATAAAATAATAGAGATCATCCCGGATTCTTACAGTTACTTCTTTTTGTAGATGACTTACCGGCATTCTCTGGTGTTGTCATTGCCTGTAGAATCTTAAATGATCGACTTGGTATTGCGCTTCCGGTATATTTTTTGGGTTCCGGTACTTGTTGCTCACTGGGTGGCACGTATTGCTGTTGGGGTGTATCTAAAGAGAAATACAGCTTCAAATAGAGCTTCACTTTCAAAGAATTCTCTCCCACTCACCGTATGGAGAACGCTGTGGTGTAAAGCGGTTCTGCGTGGATGCGCCGTTACCTGTAATTGAATGGAGAGCGTTTCACATCAGTTTAGTCTTACGCTAATTTGAATTATATGGCCAATCTATTGCGTTTAGTAGTGCTGGCAATTTGGACTCGAGCTCTAAGGCATTGCCATATACTCATGGCGGACTACACAGGAAGCGTATTAGTTTCTCTTGTTCCAAACGGGTTTGTTGTGGCTCAAAGCATTGAATTAGTAAAAATAACCATTTCAGGATTAGACTGAGAGACCCAGACCCTGACCCAGATGAAGATCAATGGACACCGAATCGACGAAACCTTACAACTCTCTCGCTCTCCTTCTCCCTTACCCGTCCGGCGCGCTGTGGAAATGGGGCGTTGGGGCTCACCTTGCGGGGACCAGGCTTGTGGTGTGCCCGACTGCTGATCCTGTGCAATTTGCAGTCGCCTCATTTGCTCAATGGTCGGACTATTGCGCGCCTGCTGGGCGCTCATCTGGCGAGCGAACTGCGGCCGCTGCAGCTGCGGCGCCTCCACGTCCGCTTGGGGCTGTTGCACGGGCCGGGACTCGATGGTGCCACCGTCGTCCACCGTATCGGTTATCTTTTGCAATATTCTAAACGATTTCGATTGTATGGGCGGTGAGCGTGGATCGCTGCAAGTAGATATAGGCGAATGTTACGTTATGTTCTCGGTTAGCATGCACTCGATATTAGATGTCGGAAGACCAAATTACATCATTTCAATGGGCTGTGAAAGCGTGGTTAGCTGGTTAACTGAAACCGAATGCAGAGTCGATTGAGTGAGAATTTGTGGGAGATCGCTCGGATCACATGTTGATGACAAGGGGAGCTCCCCAGCAAGGGAATTCCCCATTACAATGATTATGCTGGAATGTTATGCAAATAAGCGACGCACGCACACAACATTTACGAACGAATTCAAGGGGAGCTGGAGCAGAGCTGAGCTGCTCCAAGTCCCATTGTTAGAGTCTTAGACGACGGCGACGACGACTGTGCTGTGACTGTACTACCTGAGTCGGTTCTTTCTGTAGTTTATCTCAGCCTCGAGCGGACACTGATGCACATACAAATTGTAATTGGCACTGAAAGTCGCGGTAAGTCGTTAGGTTTTGTAAAGAAGCACAAAATTTAAACGCATTAGTGCTGGGTAGTGGTGCATAACTAGTTATTTCAGTGTTGGTCAAGCACAACAAACAATTTAGTATAGTTAACAACACCTCAGCTTGCACTTACTTTTGCAGCACGACGGGTGACTGGGACACGGGACCTCCGCGACCTCCCTCAATGGCAATGGGTATGATCCGTGTTGAATTGTTGCTGTTGTTGGTGTTGTTGCTGTGATTCGAGGCAACAAAGTGATGTTGCTGCTGCTGTTGACTGGGCGACACTCCTGAGGCTGGATAGTTGTTGTAACCTTGATCGACAAATTGATTAGCTGAGCGTATTATGTGGCCAGCAGGCGCTTTCGTAGGAAAGAAAGAGTATACATAGACACATATTGATATCGAGATGGAAAGTTGCACAGTGGGACAGTAGACTGGGAGCAATCGAGGTATATGTTGGAGAGTGCAAGGGTTCGCATTCGGGGTATGGGTGGGCTAGACCACTGGGTACGGGGCTGGTTTAGTAACGAACATTTAGAGTGTTTAGGAAAGCGCCATACAGGGTATTAAAGAACCAATATACACACAAACAAACTAAACACCGATTACAACGTATTCAAACTTACCACCAAAGTTGGGCTGAGCTGCGGCATATGTTGGGGTTTGTTCCAGTGTAATGGGTATGATGCGCTCCTGCAAATAATCCAGTAAGCATTTATAGCTGTTTTATATACCCTGTAATATGATAAGTTACCCTGGGGCCACTCTGGCTCGCATTGCTGTTGTTGATCTGCAATCGCAATCCACTCTGCTGTGCTGTTGACCCAAAGTTCTGCTGAGCAGCCGGAGCGGGAGACGCGGCTCTGTCATAGCCGTTGCCCTGCATCTGCATCTGGATCTGCATCGGCATCTGGCTCGACATCTGGCCCTGATAGAACGTGCTTGTGGGCTGCGCTTGCGTTGGCGCCGACGGTGAGGCTGTCTGTCGCAGCGACGAGGGCATCACATTGCCATTCTCCTCGGGACGTGCCCAGGGCGCCTGCTCCTTGGCCGCGGGCTGTGAGCTAAGCCAGCGCAGTGGCTGGCCGCCCACCTGTTGCTGCTGCTGTTGTTGTTGTTGCTGCGGCAATTGTCGCATGGGCGAGTCACGAGCTCCCGACAACTGTTGCTGCTGTAGCAAGAGACGCTGGGCCTGCGGCTCTGTGGGCTGTGCCAGCGGAGCAATGTAAAGTGAGCCAACGTTAGTCTGTCAAAATAAAAAGGAAATGAAAAGTATTGTTTAAGAAGAGCTATAAAAACTGTGCATAGTTGCATATATTATAAACAATCTGCCTAGATTCTGTTGCCTAAGACTTCAACCCGATTTCTCTTCAGGCTTCACATAGATAACTCATAAAAAGAGCAGATATGTCTTGTCATAACTAAACTAACATGCTCTTTATAATCTTTACATATGTATATACCCTTATTCAGTCAAGGTTACGCTAGGTATTATGGTATACTAGTTCTGTACCAGTTTTGATTGACTTTTGTTTTTCAATTACTGATTTGAACGAAAAAACTTTATAGAGTAATGGTCTATAATCATTAAACCCACTTTTACTTTAATAAAGAAAAAGCAATAAAAATAAATTTTATTGTTGGGTAGTTCCAATTAGACTATTTCGAACTAGTCCCAGACTAAACCGCCAGTGCATTATATTATCTAAAGCTCTAAATATGAAAAACTCTATACACAAAAAAATGTATATTATACAAAAGATAATACAAAATCTTGCACTTAAATTATCTTCTTTTTCTGAATGTATTTGGCACATGCCTAGAAATTAATTTCATTATACGTATTTATATATATTTTCGCAATTTATATTTATATGTTTGCTAATTTTCGTATTTACCCTAATGTATATATAGTTTTTGATACATTAATATATATATATTTATATACGTACATATGTATAAATATATAAATTCATATTTTCTTAATTTTCTTGAACGATGTATTAAGACATAAATGTGTACTATTCATAAATTAAGTAATCGTAATATAATATAAAATAATATAAATAACTGGTGAAAATTAAGAGAAATAAAATCACAATAATTTTAAATAGCAGTGTTTTTATTGAATATAATATAAAATTTAAAATAAAACAAGAAACAAAATATTTTCATGCAGTTTCTCTTTATTTTCATTTCTACCGAGCAATGATTTTTCCTCTACCTACCAAAATATAAAAGACTGATTCTAATGAATTTTAATATGTAAAAAATTACGCAACTGGAGATGTTTTAATTATTTTAATGCTGGCTATTCTATTCTAAGAAGATTATTATATGCAGCATTAATATTTCTAAGATAGGTCGCTTTTAAATTCATATAAAAAAAAAACTATTTAATTCCGATCAAAATTGTCTTCCTTACATTCTATTCCAAAACCGGACTTTACTTTAATTAATTTTAAAATTTGTTTTAGTTTGTATAAGTACAACTATTTTCGTAAAGACAACTATGTACATTTATAAATACATATGTCAACAATATGTATTTGAAAAGTTGTATTTGCTTGCTTTCCTCCTTTGCAACCCATAATCCAATAATAAAAGGTAATTCCATTATTCAATATAAAAGTATATACATATGTATATAAAAATACAACTTTGTAATTTCTAAGAATTTAACTTTCTTTCAAGTACAAAATGTAGCTAGTGATTAGAATATTGCAATGGCAATGCATTTGTCGCGATCGTCGCGTTGATTGCCTCAAGTTCAAAATTCGTGTTTGGCCTTTGGCAATATTTAATTTTAGATGCTGCAGCAACGAATTGCGTTCAATGTTCAATACGCAGAGCGAAATCTGTTGCTGTTGATGATTGGCTAAAAATAGATGTGAATGCTTCCGTGAATGCGCTAGAACAAATCACAGACATTCGACGGCAGTAAGTTGTTGCTCTTGCAATCTTGCGCATCATACATATGAATCTGTTGTAAATTATATTACTCATACGCTCCGAAAATGAATTGGTCAATGCTTAAGCGAATGAGTAAACGTCTGGAAAGGTCTAGCTATTGTGGGTATTACACAGTTGTTAAATACTCACCGGCTTAACACCTTGATAGGGTGTTTGTTGTTGCTGTTGTTGTTGCTGTTGCTGCTGTGCATTGAAGGTTGTTGCTGTGGCTGGCTCGACTCTGGCCGGACTGAAGACATCGCGAGATCTTTGCACATTATTGTAAATGGGCTGTGAATGCGTTGGCTGCTGTTGCTGTTGCGGTTGTTGTTGCTGCTGCTGTTGTTGTTGTGGTGCAGCGGACTGGGCGCGTTGCGTACGCCAAGGCACAGTTTGGGCAGATTGCTGCTGCTGCTGCTGCTGCTGTTGCTGTTGTTGTTGTGGCTGAGCCAGAGGCGAGATGGCTGGCGATGGACGTGACTGCTGCTGCTGTGCCAGTGGAGAAATGGCCGTGGGTGAACGCGGCTGCTGCTGCTGTTGCTGCTGTGCAAAGCGGAAGGGACTCTCCGTGGCACGCTGCTGTTGCTGTTGCAGCTGCTGCTCAAAGGGCGAGCGCGGACTATCTGTTTGCCGCGTATAGACATTTACAGCTGGCGACTGCGGCATGGGCACACTGCGGAACTCCTGAAGTTGCTGCTGTGGCGGTGTTGCCGGTGGTGTCGGTTGCTGCAACTGTTGCTGCAGTGGCGGTGTTTTGGGCGATGGTTGCTGCTGCTGTTGCTGTTGTTGCTGCTGCTGCTGCTGCTGCTGTTGATGCTGCTGCTGCTGTATTGATGGTGTATAGGGACTGTAACTGTTGCTGTTGCTGTTGCTGTTGCCATTGCTGTTGTTGTAGTTGCCATTGCTGTAGCTGCTGCCAGCTGGCTTGAATGCTGCAGGAATAGAGGAAGCTGGGATTAGAATTGCTGCATGGTGGCATGGATGGAGAAGGTGATTTTGTGTTTAGTGCCGTTAGTGGGGAATTGCCAATAAGAGAGATGCCGCTTGATGTCTGGGATTAGTCAAATGTGGTTTTTAAAGCACCAGATACCGCTTAGTAATTAGCCGGCGAGCGACATGAGGCGAGCCGCGGGCCAAGAACTGTACCAAGAGAACTTTGGCCCACTCGAGAGTGGGGTTAGAGTGTGACCCAGAACCAAAACCAAAACCAAAACCAAAAGCCAGCGAAATGATGCGATATCCGAAGAGTTTCTCGCTCTCCCTCTCTCTCACTCTGCTCACCATCTACGGCATCTTGGCTGTTGTTGTTGTTGCTGTTGTTGCTGCTGCTGTTGTTGTAGTCGCCATTGCCGTTCTGAGCTGGCTCCGGCAGCGGGCTCTTGGAGCGCTCCTTGCAATACTCATCCTTCCAGAAGAAGTTCTTCTCCACAGGTGGCGGCACCTTGCGCAGCGCCGCCATCGGATTGGGCGGTATCTTGATCTCGGGCCGGAAACCCAGCGGCGGCGGCTCGAAACGTTGCGGCGTTGGCGATTTGCGTGCGGCTGCCGGCGAACCGGGCGCACTGCCGCGCCCCGCTGGTGGTGCTAATGTGCTTTGTTGTGGGGGTGGCGGTGGGGGTGCAGCATGGTTACCGTTCTTACCCGTCTGTGATTGCGCCTGCGGCTGCGGCGGTGGCGGCGGTGGCAGCACCTGAAACGGCATGCCCATTGCAGCGGCGCCCATCGTGCTGGCCGCGCTGCCAGGAGTGACGCCCGGCGACGACTGCGGCGATGGTCTGTTCTGTTGGGAGGCGCCCGTGGCGCCCTCGGCTTGAGCGTTGCGCGCCAGGCGCTTGGCCATGCGCTCCGATCGGATCTGGGAGAGATCGATGCCGCCGGGTGTGTAGGTGAAGGGCTTCTTGTCTTTTGTCATCATGGCGTTTTGTACGCAGGCGGGTGCCTCATAGCCGCCGCCTCCTCCAGCGCCTCCGCCGCGTTGTCCATACCTGTGTACCGAGGGGGAAAGGGAGGGAGAGAGAGAGAGAGAGGGAGAGACATTCATTAGCATATTGCGATTGATTGTGGTCATCGAACGGTTTCATTTTCATGTAAATTTCGTGATTCTTGTGAAGCATCTTGAGTGGCTTTGTACGCCTCTTCGATTTCTGGCTATTTATCATAAGTTTGACTTAATCTTTTGTTATTAACTGTTTCATATTGACGCTCCATGCGAAAGAGCCCCCATTTGTCTGACCACACTTCAAGATCTTTATTTTTTTTATTCCAAACTGCTTGACTAATGACTCGCCTCATCGACAGTTCATTGAGCCAATTTTTTCTTGGCAAATTTTATTTTTTTATATGCATATATATGTATATATATACCTATGTATATGTATGTATATTTATATATGTTTTTTTTGTTTCTGTTGAGCGGGGGAAAGTGAGCTGAAGATGCTGCCATTGGCATCCATTGCCACTTATTAGTCAAAGAGCTGTGCCTAGGGCCAATACGGCCAGCTGTTGAAAGTGAGAGCTTGGGCAAGATGGACGAATCTCGAGCAGAAAAGCAATTAAGAAAATGATTAAAAAAACATTAAAAAGTAAAACTGCACCAAAGAACACAACTTTTTGCTCATTTGTATTTTCATTTCCACCAAGTACCCAGCTTTGTATGGAGGCGCGCAGCTGTTAGATCAACAATAAAAACCAAAACGAAAACAATAATAATAAATCATGGGAACGGTTTTATATATGTATGTACATACATACATATATACACATACATATGTAAAGAGAGAATGGCAAAACAAATAAGCTAAGTCAAACACTAATTTGCTATTTTTTTTATTATAAAAAGTATTAATTGCTTTAGCAATCTGTCCTTTATCGCCCTCTCATTCCCTTTGTCTGGGTTGATATGTGGCCAATGAGTAGGACGAATGTGCTAATTTCAACCTCACATTCTACTTCACTCGCGCTTCCCTAAAATTATGTGCTTCAACTATTAATCAATGTTATTACAACACTCCATTGCACTTTTAATATTTAATTATTTAATCAATGTGAAAGTCAACTCGAACTTGAAACTTGTCTCAGAGCTAATGACGCAATTCTACTATTTATAGGCTTTTCAAATAAATAATACATACATACATATTGTATATGTATGCAAATTAAACAATAGAGATAAGTAAGAGCTGCTATGCATTTAGTCACACAAACATCCAGAATATTTCCGAATATGCGTGTGCGCTTCAAGTTCTAGTGTTTACTAAAATGAAGGTTCTTACTAAATTGTCTGCGCATGACATCATAGTTTTCGCGTTCACTGTATTAGATATGCCATATGAAACTTATTAAAGACATGACGTCACAATGTCACGTGCTCACTCTGCGAATCTATATGCATCTGCACGAAAGAGTGAGAGCACTGGTGGGAGTCTGTCCTTTTACAGTGATGCAGCTACAGCTTTTGTCTCTTTTCTTAGCATGCCATAAGGCTGAAGCCAATCAAAGGAAAGGACGAAATAGCAAATTTCCCACAATTCACTCTCTTCTTTTCTCTTTTGGAAGGCAATTCTCTCAAATATTTTACTAAAGGCTGTCGATCTGCCTGGCTGTTCATGCATATGTACATATGTATGTATGTATGTGTTGTGCTACTCACACACATGTATGTCTGTATGTACATATCTTCATATGTATGCAAATACATATATGTAATATATACAAAGATTTGAATGTAGATTGCAAAATTAAAATATGAAATGATTTATAAATCGTGGTATTTAATTTAGGTGTTTCTATTTTTGTTATGTTTTTTACGATTGGTTGTAGACATTGGCAACGCATAATTTATTGGACTTGTTGATGTTGCTAAACAGCCCTGCCTTAACGGTAAACTTTCGGCTATGTGGATGGATGTGCATACATATGTATGTATGTTTTCATGTATGTATGGGTGTATGAATTAATCAAGTGTGTCTATCTTTCTTTTGCTCCTCGCATATTAACACTATTAATATGATAAATAAGCCGCACGCTCAGACGATTCATTTAGCATTTGCAAAATAGCAGAATCATGTTATTGGTCAACCTAATGTACATATTTTAATTGCAGACTGTGCTGAACTTATCTGAACTTATTTAACATTAGTTTTAATTTTTACAACAAATTTCTTTTAGTTATAATCACTTAAAACCTATGTAATTTTTAATTGTAATATATTTGATTGTTATATATTTAATAAAAAAAATTTTTTTTTGAATTGTATATTGTATATTGTCTTATAAAATGTAATTCAATAAATTTTTCAAAATAAATCGATAAAACTGTTCATGTGTAACATGTATATATTAAATGTTTGTGAAAACCGCCCGATGATGAATAACGTATTTATTCGAACTAGCTTACATATATAAATATATATACATATGTATATTCATATGCAGTTATCCCATATATTGCACCAAGTTCAGTTAGGAGGAAATGCGCATTGCATTGCACAACAATTCAAAACTGGCAGCTTTCTAGGCTTGTCAGGCTTTAATAATAATACTCATAAATGCGCAGCTCCCCCTTAAATGGCCAGGTCTACAAACATATTGGCAAGCGCAAACAGCTAACGGGTTAGTTAAGCCAAATGAGTTTCCTAGCTGGCCATAATCGTTGGGTGCAACGGACGCGAGTAGGGGCAAAGCAACAGAGGCGAGCAATCAACGACCCGAACGACCTTACGATTTTGGCCTAGCCTGGAAAATGATGGAGCGTTAAACTTTGGCTAACAACTCAACTGAGCCGAAAGAGCAATCAATGGCAAGTTCAAGTTTTCGCTGCTGCCACTTGCTTCGCATAGCGCACCATAATTCCAGGCGGATTTATATGGTCATTCCGCATATCGCAGATGACATTTCTGCAATACCTAAATACAAATACAGTAATCGGCAACAGGTGTGACTGTGTGCATCTGTGTGTGTGTGTGTGTGTATCGCCTCGTATATGGACTCAATTAGAGTCAACTTTTTTTGTCATCGACCGCAGGCAGTTACGTCACAGTACGACTGAGGCTTGGATTTGCATTTGACATTGATGCACTCGCTCCAATTTGTATGTAAAGCGGATTGCGGATTGCGGACTGTGGATTGTGGGATTGCCGCACTCGTGAATCGTTGTTGTGGGTGCTGGGTGCTTTGAAATTCGCTATGTCTATGTGTGTGTGTGCGTGTGTGGTTTGCCTTCGCATTTGCGGTTTGAGTGCTCGGAACGGGCACATGGAAAAGTGCTGGCAACAGTTTAGCGACGGCTGTGCCACGACCAAACACTTGGCACTTGGCGCAACACCTGTTCCTGTTCGCCTGACCCACTTAGCCAAGTTGTTAAAAGCGAATCATGCGTATTCTATGCCATGGCTGTGACTGCGTGTCTCTTGCTGTATGGTCACATAAAAACTAATGAAGCTGACAGGCGACAGGCTAACAGCCCGGCTGGCCAGTGGACCAACAGTCCAACGGACCAACAGGCCCGACAACTTTTCAGAACCCCAATCTCAACCAGTGGGAGAGAAAGAGAAAGAGAGAGAGAGAGAGCGAGAGACATGCATGCGCCTGGCCAACAAAGCAACTGCCCATCACTTTCTTTTGGCCACAACTGGCTGGCCATCTGATGTTTTCTGGGCCTATGCTAACTACACACGGCCGACGACAGCGTCTTTAGCATTCGCTTTTAATTAGCAAGACGTCAACGTAAAGCGCGACTAAATTAAGCAAATTATGCGGAGAAAAGTCTCAAACAAATAACTAGGCGAGATCTTTTTATTTATGCTGTAAATCGAAATTTTTTGAAAAATCTTATTTCAATCTTTTCTTTACGGAATTCAAATAAAAATCATCTCTTAAGACAAAATGAAAGTTTTTAATTGAATAGACTCATATTTAATATAAAGAAAATATTGCGAAAGCTGAAAAGATTTTTTCCCTTTAAATTTCCAAAATAGGAAAAGTTATATATGTAACTTGGAACAAAAAGGAATGTGCTGCTCTCATTAAATGAGAGATCTGAGATGAGCATTAAACATATACAGACAAAGGTATTTCTAGATTTATTCTACTTCTTGATTTTTTTGCTATAAAATGATAATTAAAATTCAGGTTTTAAGTAAAACGAACTGGAAATTTTATAATAATTTAATACACATCTCGCGACAAAGATAACTTAAATGATCTACTTATAAATGGACATATTCAATCATTTAGCAAATAGATTTGCGAGCTACACTACCCTTGCCCTCTTTTATATTTACGAAATCTTAAATACGAACCTTTAGGTTGCGATATCATTTAACATTTAGTATGATTACCTGTAAAACTAAAGTGAAGTGGAATATTGAACAAAGAAATAAGATTATACAGTATATGATATAGGAGAGTGTATACTCCAGAACTTAACGCAGTAGATTTTGAAATTGCAGAGATCGATGCGATTATACAGACGGCAATCGAGTAGATTCTTTTCAAGAATGGGTTTAGAAGCAGTAACTTTTCAAGAGTAAGAGATCGACCTGGTTTTAAATACGGGCAGTCTAATGGATAAGTAGACAGATATATCCTGGATAACCTGAATAAATATTTATACACATAATGAGGGCTACCATTTTTTCTAGTGTCTATTACATACATTTAGCCTTGAGCTATTATGCCATAAATTCCGATTTTCATAGATTGCTGACTATGAAGAATAGCTAGAAATTCGAATCCAAAAACAATCTAAAAAGTATCGCACAGCTTCCGAGTTAATAGGTTTTGTTGTCCTTCCCTTAGGGTTGACGTCATAGTCTGCAATTTGCTTTTATTTTTCCACTCACACGTGTGCTAAACAAATCGAGACAAGTCAATTCTTAAAAGAAAATAATAAACAAGTAAGAAAGCTCTAGTCGAGACTGCTCGACTACGAGATACCCTGAACCCTACAAGCAACTGATATTTCAATAATAATTAGCACCCACACACGCACTCATGCAAACAAACACACGCATACACACACACTCACATATACAGGCGATTGCGCTTGGGT